CTGGTTTTTTATTTTTTGTTTTACTGCTCTGGTAAGTTATAATAATCTTTGATTATTTGAGACTACTAACAAGAAGCAGCAGTCCCTAACACACTTTCAAATTTTGCCTTATTACTATATATTTATTAGGCTTTCATACCTATTGACCTATAGAGATAAGCTTACATAACACACTGTTGATATAATTGACCATTACATTCTACTTTCCTTTTATTAAATTTTTATTCTGCTTTGTATGGCCAATAATTAAAACTAAAAATAGAATTCTTATCAGCTAGTGTGATGTGTCTCAGTACCACATTTTTCTTTCAAATAAGTCTTTGATAAAGGCATTGTAGGGGTTAACAATCTTGTCTATGGACTTCCTCTCTTGCTGTTGGGGTTCTATTCTCTGAGGGAAATATAGGGGCAGTAATTGAACTCTTTTCTTTTTAACAGCAAAATTTGCCTTAAGCATCACACTCCTACAAGGTAGCCATCTGCTGCTGTTGGTTTAGGATTTCAGGCAGGCATGTGTGTTCCAGAATAATCGTGATTCTGCAAATGTTCTGGCAAATGGCCAGCCTTCTTTGGAAATGTAATCAGCATCTGGCACAAAAATGCAAGGAAGCCCTGCTACTGCTGTTTCGGTTCTACTTTGTTTGGATCTTCATTGTAGACTCTCATTTCTTGGATTTCGAAGAACCCTTTAAAAAATTAAATACAAAGTAAACAAAATAGTGTAATGAGCCCTTCCTTTACATATCACCCAGACTTCTAGGATTCTTTTTAACAGAGGTTTTTCTAACCATTGTTTTTTTGTTTGTTTGTTTGTTTTGAGACAGTTTTGCTTTGTCACCTGGGCTGAGTGCCTTGGCATCAGCCTAGCTCACAGCAACCTTGAATTCCTGCACTCAAGCGATTCTCCTGCCTCAGCTGCACAAGTAGCTGGGATGACAGGTGCATGCTACCATGCCTGGCTAAATTTTTCTATTTTTAGTAGAGATGGGGTCTTGCTCTTGCTCAGGCTGGTTTCGAACTCTTGATCTCAAGTGATCCTCCTGCCTCGGCCTCCCAGACACAGTGCTAGGATTACAGTATGAGCCACCAGGCCTGGCCTCTAACCATCGTTTTAAAAAAAACATTTCTCTGTGCTGCTAATCTCACTGCCTTCCCCAAGCAACTGTTTGCTATTCCTTTTATTTATAATGCTTCCAGAAAAGCATGAAGCCCCCAGTTGGCTGAGCAGGCTACAACAGTGTGCTAAGGAGATTGGCTGTAGGGTGTAAGTCCCTCAGTCTTCAGTAAAAAGACCCTCCTGTCTGAATATATCTGAGGTGTTATGCCCCCGTTCAGCCCTAGCGCTCTAGAGTTTTTGCTTTTTTATTTACTAACTTGGTTACCCAAGATCAGATTGAATATTTCCTATTAAGGTTTCCAGCATGAAGTTTGAGAGTTTATATTTGAGGAAGGATCTGTGATTTTTTAAATTTATTGCCTCTTGTGGTTTGTCGGAATCTAAAGGATATTTCTCCAGAAAAAACAGTTCCTTTTCTAGTGTTTTGATCAACCTCTAATTCTGTGTTGATTTTTTCATCACTGTTTCTATTTGATTCCTTATGAATTCTTAGTGATTTTGCTAAAGTACAAATTTTATACCTGATTGCTTTGATAGTGATATAGTAGGAGATCTACAACCAAATAGAGATTCAAGAGTGCTCCTTCTCTATCTAAAGAGATAATGAAAGGCCGGGCGC